CGTTGTTTTAATATACCGGCTATCTTATGCCAAAAGATCGTAGGGAATTGGGATTTCGCTGCCATTTCTACCTCTTTCCACATCCTGGTGTTATAGCTACTTTTCTTGTTTTTCAGTAGGGATTTGTATGCTCTCCTGAGTTGAACCATATTTGAATAATCACCATCCTGTCTGGATCGGTTAACTTTCTTAACTGCGGCTCTTAGATTTGACCTCAAGTTATGGCAATCATCATCAAACCACTTTCTAGAGATCCCATCTACTTTTCTATCATTCTGGATCATTAAGTTCTTAAGAGTAGAAGTTAGCTCTGTATAAGCTGGCATTGGGGTGTTATCTCCGGGCTTAGATTGGGAGATTTCCCTTGCTAGGTGACTGGCTTCGTCTGAGCCCAAATAAGTGGTGACAGATTTGACATCAAGTCTGTGCCAATATAACCTTTTATAGTTATAAACCCGGGCGTTTGCTAAGGTGTCAATTTCCTCTCTTGAATGAGGCCTAACTTCTGAAGAGAGTGAAACCAGAGCCGTGATGGGAAAGTGGTCACTTTCCTCTCTAAATATAGCTCTTACTTCTGAAAAATGGTGTACTAAACTAGAGGAAGTGCAGATATAATCGATAGAGGTTGAGGTTTTGTTGGACGAGAAAGTATAGGGATATATATACCCATCACTCGAGCCACTAAGTACTTGCATATCATTCATAAACAGCAGGGAAATTAACCTCTGGGCATATTTATTGGTCCTCTTGTCCATTGAGGACCAAGTGAACTCGTTATAAAAGTAACCAGTTGGTACCAGGCCTCGGTTAGCATAGCTCTTCATTGAGGGACCTAGTCTTGCATTAGTATCTCCAGCTAATATAATTTTTGCTTGGGGAAAGCGTCCCTTTAAGGTAGCTAATACTGAATCTAATTCATCCCACAAATCCCTTCCTAGAAGGTGGAATGAAAATGGAGCGATATATACAGCCAATAATTCATTTCTAATTCTTTGTTTCTCTTTTTTCCTTCTTGCCACATATGCAATAGTTAATCCTCTAATATAGGCTTTCGTGGTATCCCATAGGTTTTGTAACGATGTTGTATCTTTTGTATTTATCTGTAGAAATATCTTGATTTCCTTTTCTATCATTTGCTGATATTCTTTTTCCTTTATTATACTTGTTTTTCCATCTCTTCTGTTTTCGAAAACCTTTCCAGACTATTTTGATAGGGTTGTGATCGGCCCATATACTAGACATAATTTCTACTTCGTGTGTTTCTTTGCTTAGTTGAGGTGTCATCCAAGCCATATCCAGCCTGGACCGCGATTGATGTGGGCCAGAAAAGTATGTATATTGTTTTGTTTTGGTATTTAGTTCTCACCAGGTGTCGTGTAGGCTCATTTCTTGTACTAAATCTTTGAATGTTTGTGGCAATGTCTTCCTTTTATTTTTATTCTTTCTAGTGCTGTGGTAATCTTCTCGTAAGTTTACTATCGCATTAAAGTCGCCGACAATGCATACATTTTCGTAGTCCAACTCCTTTAGTTTGTCATGTAATTTTTTGTAAAAATCTGATTGGTTTCCATTTGGAGCGTAAATAGCTACTAACAATATTGTTTTTATTTCCAATTTTAGTTCTACCATTAAGACTCGGTCTTCTTTATCAGTGTAAATCAGTTTAGATCTTATGTGATCTCTAATATATGTTACCGCTCCCCTTTTTTTGCAATCTCCTAAAGATGTGTATATTATTCCTAATTTTTTTGTTTTCAAGTAGTTTTTTCTGTTGTTTTCTTATGTGTACTTCTTGTAATGTGATTATGTCTGCCTCTAATTTTTGCAACCTTGTAAACATCTGATGTCTTTTGCTTGGTGAGTTTAAACCATTTATATTTATGGAAATGAGCTTTATTTCTTCTTCCATTTCCGCTAGTGTTTATTTGTCTGTTATTTTGAGTTTTGTTGTGTTTCTTGTAATTCTTTGTGAAATCCCCGCTGTTTCCTCCCTCTCCAACCTTCCCTTCTTTTGTTCTTTGTCTTCCTTGTTTGTCATTTGTATCTCTTGGTCACTTGGGTTATGTTCTTCTCTACTATCTCTGCTTTCCTGTTCTCCTTCATTTCCTAGATGTTGGTCCACAAAGTCTTGAGCTTTTTCTATTGTATCTATTCTGATTTTCTTTCCTTCCCATGAAATAAGTAGGCCTTCCGGTATGAGCCATCTAAATTTTATCTTGAGTTTATTCAGTTGTCTACTTAAGAAATTGTAGTCTCTTCTCCTGTCTCTGGCTCTTCTCGGTACTTGTTTCAATGTTAGAACTTCCCTCCCTTTGTACATGACTGTCTCCTCTCTCATTCTTCTATATATTTCTCTCATTGTTTTTTTTGTAAACCTAATATGGACTTCTTTGGGGAGTTTGTTTCTCCTTGCGTAATTTGTAAAGGCTCTATAAATTTCATCAATTCCATTTCTAATTTCATCTTTATCTTTGTGCGTTGCCTTTGCCAGTATTTCGATCATAATCTCGCCCAGGTCTTCATCTTTCTGTTCTTCTATATTTTGGAATCTAAGAAAGAAGGATGCCTTCTCCATTTCAAGAAATGTGAGTGCATCTTCGGTGTCTCGGCTCCTCATCGTTTGTTGGTTCTCCATCCTCTCCAGCCTAGAGGCTGTAGCTTCCATTTTTTCCTCCACTTTATGTATTCTCTGTTTATTTTCTATGATATTTTGCTGGATTTTCACTATCTTCTCATCTATGTTTCTAATGTCATCTTTGATTTCCCCTACATCCAGTCACAATTGTTCATGTTTTTTTCTGGTTTCATCATGATTTAGCGTCATCTTATCTTCCATCCTTTTCATTCCCTCTTGTATCATTGCGAGGGCAGCCTGTATATTCTGCATGCCTATGATAGTATTGGTCTTCTCTTCTCCCGTCTTTTGCTGTACTGGGGAGGCCACCAGTAGTGTTTGGGTTTGGGGTACCTTTTTGGTTGTTTTAATGGTAGTTGATGTACTTGAAGTAGCCATGTCTATTATATGTGTTAGTCTTGTCCACAGTTTCATATAATTATGTGTTGCCTACTTTATGTTAATGGCTTAAATGGAATGTTATTGTTGGAATTAATATTAGTGGAAATACTTCTAATCAGCAATCAGCAATATAATGATATATATAGAAAGAAGAGGGGGAGGGAAGGTAGAAATGGGGGAGACAGCGGGGAAAGGGCATGTTTCTAGCAATTCATAAATTACCTTATTCTTAAATTAATTACAAATTAAGAGATCTATTTCACTAGCAGTATTTATAGTAATTCTAAAATCAATTCTAGTTTATATTTCTAATTATCTTCATTGTTATAACTGTATTAAATTATTTAAATTAATTAGCTTTCAATCAATATATTTATCACACATATAGTATTCTATAGTTGTCTGAATGATCAACTTGTTATTATTATAATCAACTTATTCTTATATAGTCACAAACAGAAAAAAGAAGAAAGAAAAAATACTAAATTATTAAATATTCTTTTCAGTTCTATTGCATTCTAATATGTTGTAATAAGATTAAGCCAGACCTTTAATAGCTATATCGTCCTTGTGTTCACCAGTTGTTTCAATGTTTCAATAGTTAAATAGTTCAGTATTTAATGATTAGATCGTTATATATCCCAGTTTTTTGGAAGAGTGTCAGTGGAAATGGTGGAAATATTGATAGCTTCTAAAAGTCCGCTCAAATACGTTATATCAAAGTTTGTTTCGTCTCTGTCCATGCAATGTCCACACTCTCCTTCAGTCTATTTCACACTCGATTTTCCAATTTAGTCCAATCCGCTCGACCGAAGCCAATAGAGTCCAATGCGATCAGTTTGTAGCAATCCGTCCAAAATCCTTCTTCTTATCTCCGGCACACCGCTCTCCTCACTCTCTCTTTATTTTCTTCAATCTCGCAAGATCTGTTCTTATTCTCAATTTAGTCCTCTCGGTCCAGTCCACCCCAATAAAATCCAGTTATATCGGAGTTGAATCCTCCGCGATTCTCGTCGCTCTCTCTTTTCTCTCGGCTGTTCAAGATTTTTGCACTGTCATATCTATTCAAAATGGCTCCAATCCGCCCGATCCTTCTGCCGCCGCTTGTCTAATGTCTTTCCCCAGTATCTCTGCCACCAGTGTCTGCTTCTTCATCAAATGCTTTTTGGGGTTTTTTAGGTTAAAGTCCTCTGTTGATGACTTCTTTTCTTTTTTCAATCTTCGCTTCCCACTCACGCAGTTTTCAGCGCCTCTGGCCAGTCTCGAAAGGCTGGTTTTTCCTCACTCTGGATTAAGGGCTTGCCTTGTACCTTCGAAGGAGTTGCGATCTCCTCCGAGGTCCTAAGACGTTCCCCTTTAAACTATCAATCCCTCCAAGATCGATAGCGCCTGTTTCGGCTCCAGATGTGGGATTATTAGCGACTCAGGAACGGAGCCCCGTCCCTTTCGTCCCTAACACGCTGAGGTCGCCGCCGGAAGTCCTTCAGCAACCTTCCTTATAACCACCTGAGAAGTATGAGAACAAGACCTCTAACTGTATTTTTGAGCATTTTGGATGCAATGGGACCATTTGTAATCCTATTGTAGGAATTACCTCTGCCATTTGCTTCTACCAATGATCTAACTTCTGTTATCTGTTAACTTGTTTTTCAGTCTAACTCCATACCTGGTGGATATCTCAAGAAGTGGGGTTGCTAAGCACCCAGCCCCTTTGTTGCTAAGCACTCAACCCCCCTGTTCCTTGCTGCACTGCCAAAGGAAGGCATGGGCCAGGGGCCAGAATTGGGTATTAAGCTGATGCCTCTGAAGGTATAAAGGGACACACAATACCTTCCCCAAGGTGTGGCTACCCTTTACATGCACTGTGTCTGTGTGTTCTGGATATAGTTTCACCTAGTATTTTGTTCTGGCCAAAAATAAAATCTGCTTCTTTTTGCAAGCCTCGTCTCAAGTCTCACTCTCTTTGGCATCTCAGTGGCTCAGGGAAACTTCTGGGACCTTACATTTTCTGGCACCCAACGTGAGGCTCGAGGGCATCGTTCCTTCGAGGTAGCTGCATTCAGCTCCTCACAAGCTGAACTTTTTTGTAGTTCAGTGGCTTCACTATGGCAGATGGAAGAAACCAGCTGAGACCAGTAGCAAAGTCAAGAGTGCTTTCGGCAAATTTCACCCGGTGACCTCGACCTGGTCATTTGCTGGCAGATTCTGATTCCAGCCAAACCTGAATGTGTTAAAGAGGCTTGCACTGAGCTCTTCTAGGTGAGTAGAACTTTTTTCGGGGGAGGGAAGGATAGAGGAGTGTTGCCTTGTGTGTTTGTGACTGAGATGTGGGAAATACCTACTAGAGGTTTGCCTATGCTTTGAAAGGAGTGTGACTGTTGGAATAAGAATTTTTAGATTCAGGGGAGGGCTTGGTCAGACTTTGAGCCGGTGGGGAGGTCCGAGAAGTACCTTAGGGAAGAAGGGAGGGTTTGGTCAGGCTTCGAGCCTACGGAATGGTCCGAGAAATCCCCCTTATTAAGAAATCCCCTTAGAAAGCTTGAGACTCAGGGGAGGGTTTTAACCAACTCTGAACTGACAAAAAGGTCCGAGAAATCTCTTAGGGAAAAAGGAGGGTCTGGCCAGACTCTGAGCTGACGGGTCCGTGAATGGAAATTTGAAGGGACAAAACCTCCACAGGTCTGGAAATGTTGTTTAATGGTGTGTGTGTGTGTCTGTGTCTGTGTGTAATCATTTCCAAATCTGCAGGATGAGACCCTCTAATAATAATACACAAAAAGTTATTTAGAAAATGCAGCTCACTGGCTTATGAAAAAGCTCCCTGAAATAATTATGATTGGTTTGTTTACAGAAAAAGTCTAATTGCAGTACAAATGTGAGTGTGTGTGTGAGATGCCCCGAAGCTCATAAGGAGTGATAAGGCGAAGTGATCCTGAAACCTGTGAATGCCTGTGTGTTGAGCTCCACAGAGAGAATCCCTTTCATATAAAGAAACAGTAAGTTGCAAGGTTTTCTTTTTTTTTTTATTAAAAAGTTTTATAAGAAATACAAACATTTTCTCCCCCCCACCCTTTCCCTCTCCCCCCTTCCCCCCCACCCCCCTCCCTAGACTTCCCAGAACAGGCACAGGGTATAGCATTCACAAACATAAAGCTAAGATATGCTAACAAATTATTGCATTCATATTCTCCCTAAATCTTTAACTCCTTATAACTCAAGAACTATAAACATAAACTACTTAAAAATATTTCATTCATAAGCTATATGAATCTTCTTGTTCGGATACTTTTTTTGCATATAGTCAATCCATCTTCTCCATTCTGATATGTATCTTTCATTTGAATGATCTTTAAGATATGATGAAATTTTTGCCATCTCAGCCAGATGCACAACTTTTAATGTCCATTCCTCAATGGTAGGTGGATCTTCCTTCTTCCAGTACTGTGCCACCAGTAACCTGGCAACTGTTATTAAATTCAAAACCAACTTAGTTTCTATTACAGTACAATCCGTGACTATTCCCAACAAAAAAACCTGTGGTGTAAATTTAATTTTTTTCCTTAAAATATTTTGAATAATCCACCATATTTTTATCCAAAAAACCTTAATTTTTTTACATGTCCACCATATATGAAAATATGTAGCATCTTCACACTCACATCGCCAACACTTGGGTTGTAAATTTGGATACATGCAGGCTATTTTTTTGGGGTCTAAATGCCATCTATAAAACATTTTGTAAAAGTTCTCTCTTAAGTTTTGAGCTTGTGTGAATCTTACATTTCTAACCCATATCTTTTCCCATGTATCCAACATTATTGGTTCACCTATGTTTTGTGCCCATAGTTGCAAGGTTTTCTTGTTATTGTTGTGAAGTAAGTGAAAAAGGCAATAGCCAGTGTTTGCAAGAAAAAGAAATGAGAAAAATCCCATGGAGGATGTGGGAGTGAAATTTGTGGAGAAAGGAGGTGACAATTCTGTGTAGTTTAAACATTTTTCCTCCCTGTATTTCTCTCCCCCACCCCTGGTCATTCTTTTACACAAGGACTTTTTGCCTTGGAAGAGCGAGAAAAGCAGGAAAGGGGTTTTTTTTTTTTGCAGCTGCGTGTTTCTTCTCTCTCTGCTGAGCCAGCCTGAGAAAGGTGAGGTAAAGGGTGACATCTAATACCTGCCTTTTTCTTAGTAAATGTTTTTAACCTACTTAATGAGAGTTGCTTCCATCTGAATGGAATCTGAATCTGACATTTTATTTTACTAAAAACAGAGAATTAACACTAAAGTTTGACCCAAATATATTTCAGAGTATTGACTCAAAATTATGGAAGCTGTTCTTCGTACCTCCCCACCCCCCCACCCCTTTAGTTCTTTATGTCTGCATGCATTTTGAATGCTTTTGAGTCAAGGTACTCCATCCTATGGCATTTTGTTTCTTTCTTTGTTAGCAGCACAAGTTGTTGCCCTTTTAGGAATTGTTACAGAGATGAGTTTGAAATTACAATATGTAGAGAGATAAAATACTTATGACATTTAATTAATTAATGAAGTAACAAAAATAACACCTGAAGAAGTTAAGGAAATTTCTAGGATTGACTGAATATTGTAGGTTGTGAATAGATAATTATGCTATTTTGAATAAAGACTGGTATGCAAAGAGCCTAGTGTTACATGGATAAGGGAATGGTTTTGAGGGTTTTAACACAAAAGTGGGGAGGAAAGAGAGAGTCAATGGCATTTTTGTCTAAAACGTTAGATCCTGTCTGTTAAGTATTGCCAGATTGTTTGTTTGTTTGTTTGTTAATTTGTCAAGCATGTATAAGATAACAGATATAAGTATAAACATGATTATGAATTCATGAAACAGATACGAATAAATGGGGACAGTAGGACAGGGACGGTAGGCACGTAGGTGCACTTATGCACACCCCTTACAGACCTCTTAGGAATGGGATGAGGTAAACAGTACACAGTCTAAGGTTAAAGTTGTGGGGGTTTGGGGATGAAACCACAGAGTCAGGTAGTGCATTCCATGCATTGACCACTCTGTTGCTGAAGTCGTATTTTCTGCTATTGAACTTGGAGCAATTTACCTTAAGTTTGTATCTATTGTATGTGTGGGGATGGTGTGATCTCAGTTGTCGGTAAACCACGCTGGGTAAACAACGTCAACACAAAGTCCTAATCTTATCAGAAATGTTAAGACAGGATGTCTGGCAGAGACCCTATCTCAGATATGCAAGGCATGGAGACCCAGCACGTAGGCATTGTTTGTCACAGGAAGAACATGAGGGAAACACGAGGGGTCCATATGGAATTCACGAGCTTTCTTTAGCCAATCAGTACAAGTAAACATTGATTAATGTTTTGCCATGGGAGTTGTAAAATGACAATAAAAGGGAGCCTTTTGAATGGGGTCAGGGTGCCTTGAACAAGGTGCCTTCACATCTAGGGGCCTTCCCGTGAACCATCTTCTACGTGTCTTTCTTCATCGAAACAACATCTGGTAACCCCGACGTGATACTTCCTATGCTTACTCGGCCGGACGAGCCCAGGTGCACCTCAGCGAACTTCGCTCCCAAAATTTCATGAGTATGGGAGGGGAAATCTCAGTTCCGCAGAAGCTTCATGCACAAGAACTGAGGAAAATACTTAAAAGTAATGGAATGGCAGGAATTAAGTTCAGAGAGTTAGAACAGTTAGTACATGAAATAGGTTGCCAATGGCCATGATATCCGGAAGACGGAACCTTGGACTTGCAGGATTGGATTAAAATTGGAACTCACTTACACTCACCGCCACGAACAGAAATAAAGCATTTGTTGCTATGGCAAAAATGTAAGGAAGCAGTAGAGATTATGGGGACTCATAAACTCAAGGCACCGTCGCCATCTCTCTCTCTGTCTTCTGATCAGGGGTCTGCTCCCTCTCCGCCTTATTTTCAGCTGACTTTGCCAGCTGCAGCTACCCTACAGCCAGAAGAAAGTAGCTCCCCGACAGCTCCCTTATCGGTTTCTCCTTTACAGGAGATGTTTTCAGCTGTCAGAGCAGGGTTTCAGGAAGAGCAACAAAAAGGAACTCTCACTGGGGTAGAAATAACAGAGGGTCTCCAAGCTTTTCCTGTCATACAGACAGTTAATCCCCAGGGACAAGCCCAATATCAGTGGAATCCTTTGCCATATCAAGTTTTGAGAGAGCTGAGGAAAGGCATCACAGAGACAGGTTTGCGTTCCACCTATACTACTGGGATGGTGGAGGGCATATCTAATGGCTATAATTTGATTCCACAAGATTGGAAGGATTTGTTTCGCATGCTTCTCACGCCAGCACAGTATGTTGTTTGGGATTCAGAATACCAGAGGGAAGCTATTCATGCAGGGAACAGTTCAGGAGGTTTGTATATACCAGATCAATTATACAGGGTGGGTGCTTTCTCTACAATACAGCAACAAACCAATGGCACACTCCCGCCAGCTTATTCTGTGATAGGGCGCTGTGTGATTAAAGCATTTAAGAAAGTGCCGATCTCAGGCAAGCCTAGTAAATCTTTTGCAGCAATTCGACAGGGGGCTGGTGAAGCATACTCTGATTTCATTGATAGATTGCAAGAAGCTATTCAGCAGCAAGTAGATAATGAGGAAGCTAGTGGAGAGTTAATGAAAAGGCTAGTTTATGAACATGCCAATGTGGATTGCCGCCACGCATTGCAGTCTATCATTAACAGAGGAGATTACACCCTGGCTGATATGTTAAAAGCATGCGCTGACATAGGCACAAATGTCCATCAGATGGAAGCCTTAGCAGCTGCCTTACAAAAAGGAAAGTTTGGCAAGCTCAAAAGTAATTGTTTTAATTGTAATAAACCTGGCCATTTCAAACAGCAATGCAGAGCTCCTGCTGGCGGAGCCCAAAAGGCGGCGGGCCAGGAGGAGATCAAACATCCAGACCAAAAATTTTTTGCCCTAAATGTAAGAAAGGGTTTCACTGGGCAAATCAGTGCAGAAGTCAGGGAAACTAGATTTCGGGCTCACGGCAAGCCCCGTCCCAATTGTCGCAACTCCTGTTAAAAATGCTAAAGCAGCTACAAAAGGTAGCGCGGGTATTGATTTGATTAATCAAGAAGAAAAATTCATTCCTTTCCCTGGAGTTGTTACTTTAATGTCATCACAATTGAAAGGACCATTACCTATTAACACTGTGGGATTGGTCCTCCCTCAGTCTTCCGCAGGGAAAAATGGGATTTTTGTCATCCCTGGAGTCATTGATTCAGATTATGAAGGCATAATTATGATACAAATTGAAACAAATGTGCCTATGACTTTAAAACAAGGAGATTCTTGGGCACAATTGGTGATTGTTCCGTATGTAGTGCCAGCAGGGGGTGAGCAAATTAACAGAGGAAGTGGAGGCTTTAGTTCTACTAATCCTATCCGCTCCCTGCATCCTAGCATTCTGGCAGTAACACAATCAATTCAAGAAGAAAAACCAAAGCGCATATATTTGTTAAATGGCAGATCTTTTGAAGGAGTCCTTGATTCTGGCGCAGACGTCTCTGTCATAGCCACTAACAATTGGCCCACAGATTGGCCTACTACGGAATCGCCTTCTGTGTGGGGAGTTGGAGGACCCCAAGCAGCTCGATGCAGCACCAAATGGCTTATGGTAACAGCTCTTGACGGCAAGCGCACAGCTCAATTAAAGCCTGTTATTCTCCCCATTCATGTAAATCTGTGGGAGAGAGATTTGATGTTACAGTTTCAAGAGAAGTTAATTATTTATGATTAATAGGTACTATGTCGCCACCTACTGCTCTTCCTTTAGTATGGAAATCTAATATGACTGTGTGGATTGAGCAATGGCCTTTAACACAAGAAAAGCTTACAGCGTTACATGAGCTAGTGAAAGAACAGCTAGCCGTTAACCATATTGAACCCACTACAAGTCCATTCAATTCACCAGTGTTTGTAATAAAAAAGAAATCTGGTAAATGGCGGCTTCTTTG